ATAGGGCTATAGTATAGTGGCTTTTTACAATCAGTCTCTTTTCTGTCGCCACCACAGCCCTACTTCAAGGCATGTCCTAAACGCCTGAAATCCAAACTGGGAAAAATGTTGCATCCTGACTTCACTATTCTCATCATATAGGCCTATCATCAGATCATCTCAACAAACATGATAAAAGTCAGTCATTACAGAAATGCAGGAAAGACACAAATTCTGGACTTAGAAACATTTACCAATGTGGAAAAAATGTTGCATCCTGACGCCACTTTTGACAACAAATTCTGAGCCCCAGCAGGTCGGAAACGAGGTTTCTCTCCTTGCCAATCTCTCACTCGGTCTCTCATTAATAAATGCGTGCACTGATCTGCTGGATTACGAGGACTTGTTGCCCAAATGTGTTCGGTAGATATATTTAAGGCACCCAATGAATGAAGGCGAGGTCAAGAAGAGGTCACAGTGAATAAATCTTTATTCATAGGAATTTTATGCTGTTGTATGAATAATTAGGCCTAGTCCTGTCCAATGCTAGTTGTGGAATTGTCCGAACATAGTAATTACCACTGTTTAGCACTTCTACGCATGTTTCCACCTTCATTGATCATGTCGGTTGAGGGCCTTCAATTTATCATTGCAGATGGAAGTCAGCCAAATTTCTGCCTACGAATCTATCTGAAATACTTTGTTCACATATTTCTGACAGGTAAGCGCAAAAAAAAAAATCTGTTTCGAAAGTGGCGTCAGGTTGCAACATTTTTGCCACCGATGTTGTTGGGAAATACTTATAAAATTCTCTTCACGCCCCATACACTTTGTACACAACTGTTGAAGTGGAGTCAGGATGCAACAATTTTTCCCCAAACTGAAGGATTGTCACAAACTTTGTATCCTAATATTTTCCGAAATGAGAATGATTTGACAATTTTACTTACACCGGCGCATTCCTCAGAATTTGGACTTTAATATGAGCACCACCCAAAAGCTTTCCCAAACCGTATATTTTTGATGTTTGGCGTCTTGAGAACCAGGCCTGTGTCATTTCTGTTCTGACCATGGGCGGCACTATTTTTAAAAACAAAAGGAGCGCTTCTTATGCAGGAAGTCAATACCCCGAGAACTGTGGGGTCCGATCTCCACTCCTCTCCCAAGAGCCCCACAGAAAAAGAGCCTTGTTCGCCATAGGCTATGCATGACGTTTAACAGGGCACGAACAGCGATTCCATTCGAGTTGTGTACCGGTAGAAATGTTGCTTCATTTCCCCTAAGAATTTTATGTAAGATAGCTTACATACCTTTGTTTTGAGTACCAAGAGAGAAAAGGGCCAAAACCATGCCGGTTTCCAAAAAAAGGTGCAAATATTTCCTGATCAGTGTCTGAGAGTCATGTAGTTCGCATTTGTACTTGCGAAGATAAGCCACGACCAAATCGTTGACTACGGCTGCGATCGATACACAAGACAAGGAAATCAGCTGCAGCTGCTTTCCGTATGTGTGTGTGTGCAATTCTTAGCCGCGCTGGTTGAAAAGGCAGTTGGCTGTGGTGCGCAGGGGGTCACACTGACCAATCATAGGGCTCCTCGTTATTTATGCCCAAATTTAAGGAAGACAAGCAACCGCCGTTGGGTGCACAAAGCCGCTCAACAGGAACCATTCACTGTGCGACAGCGCGCTCATGTGCACTGGTTCCCATCAAGTACTGTTGCAGTGTCACTCATCTACAGGCAATGGATACATTTTATCGTCCTTGTCACAGTCTCCCATGCCGCCAACCCACAGAGGAGTAAATGTTATGCGGTTTCATTCTTTTCTCAGGAGATTTCCTGGGGAGAATTGTATAAACCAGGGTTTGCCCTTAACTTTCTTTTCTCACTTGCAAGGTGGACCAGCAGTGATGGCTTTTTACTTGTCTGCCAGCATTTTCACTAATCCGCGTCTTCCCCCAAATTTCAACATTGTTTTTTGGCAGTTGTGTTTTCTGCTTCAACATCATGCATAACAGTGTGCACTTGGTGCTGACTGTTGTTTAATTGTTGATGAGTAATCATAAATGGCCATGGGAATTATGAATTTCATTGTTTATGAAATAATCTCCATAGTAAACACTAGAACGTGTTGTTTGCTTCACTGTTAGAACTAAATGAAAGTGTGTTCAATTGAAAAAAGTTGCAAATTTATTTCATGTTTAATGAAAAATAAATATAGGCTTACAGTTGGAAAAAAATAAAACACAGGAAAACTTAAGAGTGGAAAGAAAATCAACACCTGACATATTTTTATTTCTAATTTAACTTTAAAATCATTATCATACTTTTGAGGTAAAAAAGTGGTTGAATTTGGAAAAGACAACTTCCGACGATAAAGGCTAAGATGAAGTCACACAAGACATCCCGCATGGCTACAGACATTTATTTTATGCATGGCTTCACTTGGGCACTGTACCTCTGGACAACCCTCGAAAATAGGTCATGGTCAGCAAGGGGTAGCGCATTCATAAGACCATCGGAGATCACTCCGTTGAGCGAAAACTGGGAAGGTCAAGTTTTGCGACCGAGTATTTTTAAAAATTAGCTTTTTGCTCACAAATGTACATTTTACTTATTTACTGTACATGCCGTTTGTGTTTATTACATTGTGAATTCACATGCAAAGCTCCTGTCTTGAAACACCCAACCTGTGATGTGGTTAGGCAGGACGTGGATGACGCCATGTTAAAAATAATGCCCGGATATCTCCCAACCATGGTGGTGCATCTGTGTATGGGAAGTCAAGGCACCAGACGGGAGCTTCCCGTGTGAATTACGCATTTCACAGTGCCCGGTGCCTTAACTCATTAAGGATTTTAATGAGATTAAGGGTGATAGTGTAAAAGTTTAAACTCTGAAGAATATACCAGTGTGGGTAAAAATGTGCAGTCTTGTGGAAGATATTAGGATTTGAAGTTTGTGACAACTGTGTAGTTGGGACTTCAGGCATTAACTTCCTGCACTGAAGTAGGGCTGTGATGGCCACAATGTCAAAAGAGAGCCTTTCACAGCCCTATGTGTTGGGCTAATGCCCAGCCCTAAGTTACGAAAAGTCGATGATTTGATTTAAAACTAGTTTAAAGGATAATATCGCAACTTTTAGGGGGTAGGTGAAAATCCCCTATCAGGAAAAACATTCCTGGATCAGCCTCAAAGTCATACAAATGAAATATAATGTGCATGTAAAAAAAGAGTAACCAAATCTAGGATGCTTGATATCTCTATTCTTTTAGATTCTTTTTTGCAAAGATGGTGGCGTCGTCTGCGAAGCATCGACCAAGATGCTTCTTTGACATCACTATCAATGGAACTCTGGGTAAGATTCTTTCCTGGGTACTCTCTGACGACATTTTATTTTACATGCCTGTGGCCAGCACGCTTCCATATGTCATGCGTATTTGCCAGACTGTCTTAAGTTTAACAGTTGTGTGCCTGTAAATAAAAAAAGCGATTTATGATGTGAAAATGCTGAATTGGTTACACAAATCGCACTTTACTTGCTGGGTATCATGGGAGAAGTTCAGCATTGACTTTATATATTGATACTGCTAAAGCAGTGTTTATAATGCATAAGTTGACAAGGAATCTGTAGCTTCTTAGGTTGTTCTTCTTTCAAAAAGTTGTCAAATACGTCTTTGTATTTGCCTGTCATTTCTCTTTCATTTGACATATTGGGCAACAGAACAGATTGCGTGTTTTACTTTAAAACCAGCAATTTATCTGTAATTCCCTCTGCAGCTGGACGGGTGACCTTTGAACTCTTTGCAGACATCTGCCCCCTGACCTGCGAGAATTTCAGGGCCCTTTGCACTGGTAAGAGCTTTATGAACTTGAATGGATCACGAAAGGGTTTGTGTATTTAGTCAGTGAGCCAATTTGGTATTTCAAAAAGGGGGAAGTCATCCGAGGACAGAGTACCTGATGTTATACTTGTTCAAACACATTTGATGCATGTGCATATAGCACTGACCTCAAATACAAATATTGATTTTCTTGAACGGTCTACAATGAGTTGCATTTTGAACAATGGGAGTCGGTTTACTGCATTTGCTCACTGGAACCTTAATACTAAATCCTGATTTGACGGGCCTAGGTGGGGTCAGGTCTGAATAACTTTGCAAATTTACATAAGCAGAAACACAGGTCTACTGGAAATGAAGCAGAGGCTAGCTGGTGACTTGTCCAGTGGTGCACGTGTGTTATTTTGAGCCACAGCCAAGTACAGTATTATGGACACCACTGAACAATCTGTCGAGTGCCAAGGTCAATTAATTCAGCCCAAAGTCCCCCCCTTGAAGTTGAGCTTATTCAACCTTGCAATCATATGCATGCATTCCTTGCATGCATTAGATGTGCAGTCTGTATGTGTTCCTTGAGATGTTCCCCATCCACTCTGCAAAACACATAACGAGTCTTTGACCCCAAAAATTAAATAGAAATGTTGACATGCCTCAAACTGATGGCCCTTCTATGTTCAAAGCTGTCTAGTTGGAATGTGTCACAGGGCACAGTGTGACAATGCTGGAGCTGTAATGAAAGGTATTAATAGGACCAAGAAGATGTAGGTTAGTTCCTGTTGTACGTTAAGGTTACCCTGGCAAGGGCCTGATTTTCTGCTTCTTGAATTTTTACGTTGATCTGATTGGGGTGTACAGAAATCAGGCAAACTTTGCTCACCCAGGAAGAGACTAAAAACAGTGACATTGCCATTCAGACGATGTGTAAGGTTAATATTGTTTTTCTCTTGCTGCGCCACACAGGTGAGAAGGGTGCTGGCAAGACCACAGGAAAACCCTTGCACTATAAGGGCACACCAATCCACCGTGTGGTCAAGGACTTCATCATACAAGGAGGCGATTTCAGTGCAGGTGAGCCCCTGAACCCATCCAACTTGGGGAGTTATTGAGATTATTGTGATCGGAATTTGGGAATGTCAGGTTTTCCAAGAAGCATTGGTTCGTACTAAGAGGTCTGCTCAGTTGTCTTGGTCAGTGCTCAGACTTTCTGAATTACTGTAATTTTTGAAATACAAGCTGCGGCTCATACGTTGATTCTCACGCTGAAAACTGTCTCTGCGGCTTATACGCTGGGCGGCTTATACGGCAAACTGTGAAGGATAAAATCAGTCACAAAAGCCAGGCCCGGGCCATGCATACCACATGAAGGCTGCGCAGTCATGTTTTCGTTGGTTGGTGTTTACATCTCAAAACTGGAAGCTCGGAGAATTAATAAAAATTCGAGTTGTCCGGATATTGAGTTATTAACAGAATTTTCCAAGTCATGGAGTCACGAAACACATACATGACATGTGTATGTAATGTTAAACTATACTTGCTCTTTAGCAACAATTTTTGATGATTTTTTCCATGAATGGGTTGGCGGTAGCAGTCAGGCTAGCCTGAAAACAGGGTTTTGCGTGATCGTGGTGGTGCGTGGGTGCCATGCCGCATGCAGCATGCATGCAGCACAAGCTGTTCCTTTGTGATGACTCGAACCAAGGTCTCTTAGCCGATTTTTCATTGTTGAAGCAATTTGGCAGTGTTTTTTGATCTGCGTCACGAAAATGTCCATATAAGCCTATTCTTTTGGCAAGAAATAGTCAACCCACACGGGACTACCATCCAGCCCGCAAAAAAGATTAAATTTGAGGACTTAGTATTCACTTTTTATGGTGACACTCGTTCGCGGATTGCACATGTAGTGCAACCATTGACATACCGTACATGTTGAATTAGCACTTCAGCACGCAGCACGATGACCTTCATGGTTGGATCATCAGCGCTGTGGTGTGGCTTATACGCCGATGTGGCTTATATGCTGAATTTAAATCTTAATTTGCCAATCTTTGCGTTGCTGCGGCTTATACACCGGGTAGCTTATATTCCGAAAATTACGGTACTTGCATGTGAAAGTTTGGCATTCTCTGCAGTGCTCTGACATAATCAAGTCAGCAAATTGGAAAATGCTTTTCAACTTGTCAAAAACCTTAACTCGAAGTGCGTTTGTGCATGGTTGAGGAGTAAAAGATTGTTAGAGAAAGTTCTGCATTTCATGATGGGGTTGGGTAACTCAGAGGTAGGGTCAATGAAGTTCACAGCTATAAAAATAAAATTTCATGGTCCCTCCCCAAAAAATGTTTTAGAGTTGATTCCTCATGAACTTATCCTTGGTTGCTTTTTTGACAGGAAATGGGACAGGGGGAGAGTCCATCTACGGTGGAACATTTAGTGGTGAGTACCATGGTTGGAGAAATATGACCTGCCTTCTCCAACTCGTCTCTAGGATCAGTGGGTCTTTCTGTTATTGTTTTTCTTTTTATGGTAGTATTAACCATATGCTGCTGGGAACCAGACAAAAGAGCTAGGCCTTATAACAAAAGACCGTACTCGGAACAAAAGAGCGAGCTGCTGGGAATTGCTAACCTTTTTTCAGTTGTCAATAGCGGAGGAAATCAGTCATTGTTTTGAAAGATTATGCCACTGTTTGTGGCATTCAGCATGAGCGCATTACCACAAGAGACAAAAGCGCTCCAGTGATGAACAACACCGCTGCACGCTAATCTGGCCTGTATTGAAAAGACGCCAGCATCGCGCACTGTGCCAGTTTTGGGAAGAAAAGAAACTTATGTAACACTGCCTAGTCTGGGCTCTTTTTACCAGGCGGCGGGCCTGACTGAAGTACTGGAGCATCAATAGATGATGTCTGTTAGATTAGAGTAGCCACCAGACAGTCATTCTTGTGGGTGTAAACGTCCAGTAAATGAAGTTATGATTTTTGGAAGAATTTTGAAAACGGAAAATCTTGACAATTTCCCGGTTTTACATTATGCAACTTCAAATTCCACCCGGCAACAAGTGGTTAATGATACGTGGTATGAACTACAAGTATCCCATCCTGCTGAATGCTGAGCAGTAGATCATGTGCCTTATGCCCCACAAAGAGGAGGGGCGGAACAGATTTGGATGTCAAGAGAAGTGAGGTTATTTCCATGCTGCACTTTCATGATTTTGTCTGCTGATGTATTTGGTCTCTTGTATGCTTGTTTCAACAGTGTTTCTATGACACTCTGAGACATACTGTTCTTGACGTTTTGATCCCAGCTGAATCTTTCTCAATCTTTGAGAAAGGTTCTGCCAGGATTGAAACATCAGGCCCTCCAACTTCTCTGATTTGTATTTTAGGTCACTGTAGCCAGCAAGCACTTTGCTGCTGTTTTTGTATGATTATACTGTTCTTCTTTAACTTGAAATTATGGAGCCCTTGCTGACAAACAATCCCAAATTTTTTGCACTTGTGTTACTCAATAAAAGTTCTTTCCAATGGATTGTCATGTAAATTTCAAATTCACAGTTTTCTTTGACCAAACTGGAATTTGGAAGGTTTCGTGCATATCTTTTTATTATTACAAATTGAAAACAAAAACTTAATAATCTGTTACTGGACAGTTACTGGATTCAGGATGTCTTTCTGCTGCTGTGAGAAGGTGAACAAAAAGGTCTTTTAGGAATCAATGATATAAAACTTATACCAAGTGTAATTAAACATGCAGCCTTTTTTTTGGGGGGGGGCTACGTAACACCTTTAAAATCCACGAGGAGGCTTCAAGCTGTCTTACAGGACTGAGAAAGGCACAGCCTGTGTGTATGACTTGATTCTCCATGAAAATCTAAGATAAAAAGTACCATTCGTTTCCTGCTCAGTAGTGGATTCTTTGAGGATCTGGAAAGAGTGCTCTCGAAGGAAGCCTACATGTACGTACATGTAATTCCCTGAAATGTACATGTATGTGGTGCTTAGAGGTGTAGCTGTACCATTGACATGGACATAAATTGGATGGGGAAATCTTGACATGCCTCTTGGACATTCCTTATTTCATATAATTTCATACTTTTTAGTTAATCGCAGCCAAATCATTGATTGAAGAATTAGGGTTTCCAAGACAACCGTAAGCATTATGCCATGATAGCATCAAGACATCATCTTGTTCTTGCTATTAATTGTGACCTGACTCCTAATCAGATGTAGAAGTCCCCTTTTGGATGTTATTTGTTTCTTATTCAATTGAGACTGTTTTCTTCTCATTTCAATTTGCAGATGAGAATTTTGACCTGAAACACGACAAGCCATTTTTGCTATCCATGGCCAATCGTGGCAAGGATACAAATGGGTCGCAGTTCTTCATGTAAGTATCTCAGTCGATTGGATTTGGCATGGGTAAGGGTTGGGAGACTAGGCTGCTCTATGCTAGGTTCAGCTGAGGCATAGGAAGGTGTGAGGGGTGAAGAGTGCAGATTGTGTGAGGATCGAGATCCCTAGCAACCAACTGCATATGCCAGGTTAGCAGCCAAAGAATACTGTCAAGTCATAGTGCAATTGGGCATTGACTATATAACACCCCCAGGGAATTGTCATGAAGTTGTCTTTATGCTTTTCAACTCCAAGATGGAGGCCATGGTTCAACACCAATTTTAGCACTCTTGACTATGTTCAACGTTTTGTCTCCAAGTCTGCATTCAGAGGTGTCCTTGTGTGGTAGAGGGCCCTTGGTGCAAAGCATCTTTCTTGAGAAGTTTATTGTCAGTAATGTCTTGTATGAGCCGGAAAGCTAAATTGCACTCTAGTTTTCAATTAGTTGGTTCAGTATAGCAAAGTTTGATTTTCTTGTGTTTTCCTTGTAACTAATGATTTGTACCTTTGGTCACAATCTGGACTTGGGATCAAGGTGGAGATGATGAAGATAAGAGGAGAGATAAAGAGTGAATGATGAGACAAGATTTGAATTTGATTGGTATGAAACAAAAACAAAAATAACAGAAGGAGCAAGTAAGAAAGAATTCGAGAAAGTGCAAGGAACCATTCTACAAACTTTTGAAAAGAGTTGAGCTCAGTGTAAAACTTTAACGACACTTTTGCCAAGCCTAATTATTTAAGAGGTTCTCGAGCTGTGTGTGAAATTTGCTGGCTCTTGGCTCTGCAAAATTCAAAACTTCCATCAGAAATATAACACTTCCATTCATGAGCAGTGGACAGAAAGTTGTTTGGGGAAAACTGAGAGTGATTTATGGCAAAGGGAGGCGAGTTCATGAGTAGAGTATTTTGTGTCTGCGCTATGTGATAGTAAAAATGTGCCCTGTGCACGAGGAAGATTACCCTTTTTGCTCTTGTAACATCTTTTTTACTTTTTGTGTGTTTTCCATTAAATCTTCACTCATTAGTGATCGTTTCTATTTTGCTGTTTCTGTGTTGAATTACTGTTTTGCAGAAAAAAATACTTCTATTCCAGCAGCAGTTGAAGGTAATTGGTCCGTAAACTTGTGTGTGTGTCTGAATTTCAGATGCGCACACCCAGTGTGTTCCTTACCTAGGAGTAATCATGGCTTTATGGTCTTCTGCTTGGACTTACTGTGGAAGATACGCAGTTGATATTAAGCTGTAGTGTTAGCCTAATGTTCATTGTTTGGCATTTCATAAATTATTGAGTGTGCTATCCCAATCTTATTTAGCATCCCAGAGCTTTCTGAAATACAGCGAGTCTCATTCACAACTAGGCCCTAAAATTTGGGGAAACTTTTCGACTTAACCGGTTTCACACATTTCCTTGGACTCCTTGGACATGGTTAGCTTCACAGAAAATCTTTTGGTTACAAAAATTGTTTGGATTTCTAAGATACTAATCTAGTAAGTATCAGATTAAATGTGGTATTATTGCTTTGGAGAGCACATGTGCACTTTCCTATACCAGATAATTTCTCTAAAAGATGCGTCAAAGAACAAGTGAAGATTAACAACTTCTTTATCCCTTCTCTTGAAATAGACATCCTGTAGTCTTAGTGAATTCAGGTATTTCTTGAGCTTGAACTTTGGATCAAACTTTTCCTTGGAGTCACAGTTTTGTGAAGCCTGGTGACTTGCAACAACTCATGTATGAAGGCTGGTCAAATTGTCTTCCGTGTCTAGGCCATTGACATTGGTTTCGCACGGAAATCTCCTGTTGCAGGATGTTTCCCACAGAGACAAATTACATAGGACCAGTGGAATCAGATTCCTTGCGGAAGATTTGCATAACTTATCCCACTAATGACAATTTGTTTCCAGAATGTTGCACTCTTTTATGACATAACTGATTGAACTCAATTTGTTTGTTTGTTTTTTTCTTCCTTATAAATTTCTTTCTTCTGGATCCTGTGATACAGCACAACCAGCCCTGCGCCGCATCTGGATGGGTAAGAGCTTCCTTACAGTTGGCCATGTGCACATGTGTACCAGACCGCATGTTCACTCAGAAAGGTCCCCTAGTGTTGCGAAACCATCTAGGGCCAGTGTTTTTGTACATGTGTTGGCATAGTGTACATTTGCCATTAATTACTGGGATGTGCACTGAGACTACACTGATCTTGTGTTCAGACTAGGCTTGATCTTGGTCAGTTTGTAGGTTGCTCTATTGTTCATGTACATTGTACAGTAAGTTGTAGTTTTAATGAACTTACTAGTTTTGTTTGCCCCATATACGGGTCTTGTTTGATGTCTTGTTGGCATTGATAATAGATGGATCTTGTCCAGTCCAATGATATGTGATTAGCTCCTACAAAATGAGTATTGAGGCCATTTTGTCAGAAGTTTATATGAGAGCAACCTGAGCTCTTTGTTCTAAATTACTCTTTTGTGGAATACTGAGGAAAATAAGTGTGTTGTGGAATAGTGTGAGGGTTCCTATGGGTTTACCTTGTGCAGGATTCTTTTAAAGGCAAATTACCTCAAAAGTGGGTCGGGCTGCTTTGCAGCTTGCTCTGTTAGGTTGGGTCACATTTGTCCTGACATCCAAGACATGGCAATATCATTGATTGACTGAACAATCCCTGTAGTCCATCCAGTGATCATTTTATCTGATTTTGCCTTTCTATCTGCTTTAGGATTCACACTGTGTTTGGCCAGGTGTTAATGGGCATGGAGGTTGTGCAGGAGATTGAGAACCAGAGAGTGGACAATAAGAGCCGTCCCACCACCGATGTGCGCGTGGCCAACTGCGGCGAGCTGGTCTTGAAAATGAAAGCCAAAGGTAACCCATCGTTACCAGGGTTCAACCCTGTTAATTTTGGCGCGATCAGCAGATCCGTGTAGTTGCGTGATCACTCTCTACTGTCGGTTGATCCAGGATGAAATGTCTGTCTTTACTTGCCTGGTGTCAACAGGATTGACGAGTTGATCAACGGCAGCAGCACGATCAAGCAGATCAACCGATCTTCTCATGTCCTAATAAAAGCTTATCATATTCCTGTATGTTTTGGGTTATGCATCAGAGTGCTTAGAATATTTTTTTTTGCATAAGCTTTATATATTAAAAGGAAGAGTAAAGAAACTGGGATTTCCAACCAGTGAGAAAATTCCGCATTTTTTGATCCTCCGTTTTCAGCTTCCAAGAGAAAGAAGAAACCAGTACCTTCAGAGAAAGACTCGTCCTCGGAGGAGAGCTCCTCGAAAGAGGAGTCCTCAGAAAGTGAGGATGAGAAGCAGAAGAAAAAAAAGAAGAAAAAACAAAGGGAGAAGGAAGAAAAGGAGAAGGCACAGAAGAAGGAAAAGGAACAGAGGAAGGACAAGAGAGAAGAGAGGTCATGGAAACATTAGCTTGACTTAAATGCCTTGTGGTTTTTTCACAAGCCTTTGGGGCCAAGTTGTGTGATGTTGTGAAACAGGCGACAGAGCTGTATTCAGTGTTTGCCCCGAAGGCTTGTGGTTTTTTCACAAGCCTTTAGGGGCAAACATTGAATATACAGTGTGGTAATACACGTCAGGCAGGGCAAAAATGTAAAATTAATTAACATCTCCCCGGCGCAAATCCATCCTTGGAAATGGTCCTGATATCGTTCACTTGTTCGCGCATGTGTGTATGGTAAGATAAAGCTGCTTTTGGAAATGATAGCTGTGGCTTACATACACCTGTGGGAGCCGTTAACGAGTTCCTGCAGCCGTTTCCATATGATGCAAAATATGCAGTGAAGGGGACCCCCCTCTATTGTGTCTTCTTTTGTGTTGATGGAATCTTTGGAACTCCTTTCAGATTTCCAAGGGGGGGTGCAGTAGGAACAATAGCCTTAGGGTATACAGCTTGTGCATCGCATGTGGGGGGGTCCCTCTTTACCGCATATCGTGCAGGGTGTCGCAGTTTCACATAGTTTATATGTGTGACTCTAAACCATAATCTGTTGATTCAGATGTGATCCAAGTCATCACATCTGTAGTGCACACAGAAGATTAAGAAACAATATCTATCCTGGAAATAGACTTGAAATGGAGTGTATTCTGTAGTAATTGACATGAATGATTTCCCCTTTTTTTCACCCTCAAAGCAGTGCCCTTGAAGAGCCCAAGCCCACCATTTACCAGAGTGAGCTGTCCGCCAACGTGACCATCAACCCAGAGCAGATCCCTGACGTGCCCACCAACATGTTCCTCTTACGCAGGAGCCCTCCCTCTGACAATCTGTAAGTACAGAGACCATTTGATTGCACAGGCTTTGGAGCTACAGATAAATGAAACAATGTGGGGGGCCCATATCATGGAGTGTTTGCTGAACATAGATGTTTGCTTGGAACAGAAAACAATCGGTTGGGTAACCATACATTGCTGGTTGAAATATCATGATTAATGATGCTTTGGCCAGTTTCCAGATTGTTTTTTTTTTATGTTTTGCTTGCTCATTTTGCAGCATACATGGTCTGTGAAATGAAACTCTGTCACTCATAATGCCAGGAAAAGTCTGCGTCAGAGATCAGAATGTTACACTCAGCGTGTATTTGATACCACAGTGGAGAATTTGTATTGTGTCAAGGGTTTTTATAACTTCAACGAAAAATGAGAATAGAATTGTGGGAATGCATCCACAAGTCCATCACACGTGTTTTTCCACAGTGGCTGATGTCGTTTGAATGAGACCGGACCAATCAGCTTAAATTTGAAAGCCTAATGGTTTCGATATTTTTTTTGCATTACTTAAACGGACAATCTGCAACATTTATGAGCTTATTTGCATCTCCCTCCAGGAATCAACGGATGCGACGGATGAATCCAACTCGAACTCGATCTGGCCGCAAGGTGAAAGGAAGAGGGATTATGGTAAGAGCTTGCGTCTAGAGAACTGGTTCTTTCATTTCAAGGAATGTTGGTGTCTTGTCCTTCGCTCCAGACAGGTCGAGGATTAGTGCATAGCACACCTACATTCTATTCATCATGCACCTGCGGTTTCAATGTGGGCCTGCTGCTGGACAGGACTTTGCATACTGGGCGTACCACAGCCCAGGAGTCGTGGTCAAAAGAATCCCGGTGTGAATGGGTTAACTTTAAAGATAAAGTTGTACCCAGCCAATTTGAAGTCAATTCAGACATCAGCATTTAAGTTTTGTGCTGATACGATGAAAAGTCATGAATGGGAAATACTTAGATTGGGTCATTTGAATGATTAGGACGTGACTTGGGAATAATTTATATGGAATCTGTTGTCTGATTGACTTGTGGGGATTAATGTTGACTTGATAACAACTCCCGTATAACAGAACTGACCTTACAAGAGGTGCCTCAGTATCTCCCATGGGTCAAAGCTTTTGGTCTCGGTGGACTAGAATTGAAAACATTAGCATACAGAATCAATGACATTAACATACAGAATTAATGACGTTAGCATACAGAATCAATGATATTAGC